GGGACCCGGACCCCGGAATCGGGGTCCGGGTCCCGGGTTCGCGTCCCGGCGCCGGCCCTTGTCCCTCCGGCTCTGCCTCCAAGGGGAAATTACCCCCTACATCCCCTCCCGACACAGCCATAGCCTGAAGGAAGATGCTGGAGCCTGCCAGCAAGCGCGTTCACCCATTCACATTTAACCCTCCAGTACTGGGGTTACTGGGACAAAGGCTCTCCCTCTCCCAGAAAAGAGTGCCTGCGTCAGGAAAACGGGGCAGAGCACATCGGAGAGACGGTGGAAGGAAGCACCCGCTATGCCCAACCGCAGGGAAACGCCTCCCGCAGAATTCCTCCGGAGGCTGCCAAGTCGAGTCTTTCATCCCGATGAGTTTCTCCCGGGAGTGTGGGATCGTCACGCCCAAGCAACGCGAAGCTGCGGGCCAGCAGCGAGCTTTCTCCAGGACAGTTACCGTGCCACACTTGGCCCTGTCTGTACTTGTCCTTCCCTGGGTCTCAGGCAGCCATGAACTATGAGTTCTGGTTTTTTAGGCTGACCTAGCACACAAGCTTGGTTGATCCAGGCAGTAGTATCGGCTTTAAACCGCCTGTCAGAAATGCAACACCCTTCCCCATTCCTACTTAACAAACAGGACCAGCACTATTTCCCCTCATTTAAATGGCTCAACTAGGGGAAAAAACCCACTGAGACAATTTGTTACAAGTCTATATATTTCTTCCAAAAATAAATAATATGAACCCCCTGCTCCAAACCCGAGACCAGGAGCCAGCCTGTGCTCGACAGGAGCAAGACCAGTACAAAGGCTCTGTGACAGTCTCTGCTCAGCGTGACTGGGCACTGAAGCTCTCCAGAGCACTGTGTGACGCCCGGACAAATGCCATGTCCTGCCTGTACTTCATGGCAGTGGGTGGCTGGCGCCTGAGCAGCTGGTCACCGCTGTCCTTTGGGTCAGGGTCATCATAGATGGTCGAGATGAGGATGGGACCGTCCCGTCGGGGCTTTTTCACCTTGCTGAAAGTTGGCAGTTTCTCCCCATGGTACCTAGAGGGAAGCAGGAAACGTTTGCTCCAAGGTTGCTGAGGCAGGCAGACACCCTGTGCATCCCAGCTCATTTCCTCCACGTGCCACAGGGGAGAAGTGGGCCAACACAGAGCAATAAGGCTTCTTGTCCTATTCCTGGCTGCGGGATTGCTCCAGAACGAGAGCCAACCCTTCCAGAGAAACACAGCACCGCACAAAACCTCCACAAACCCTACATAGAAGGTAGGGGTGAGGTGCACAGCTACAGCTCAGGTCACAGAATACTGTAGCAGAGGCGACCCTCAAGCCTCAAGCACAGCTCTCCCTCTCTGTTCATGCGCTGCGTGAACTGCAAATGGCTCCAGTGCTACTCGAACACCACCAGCTCCTGGACTGTCATGAAGAGCAGTGTATTTAGTGCCAGATCCCTGGGACAGCCTTACAGCCCTGGCTAATGCTCCGCTCCTTTTGCGGCCAGCTAGTGCTGCGTCAGCCCAGAGAGCCCAGGCAGCGGCTCTGCACGCAGGCTGGCAGGACAGGGTACTTACCCCAGCCCCCTCTTGCATCTGGGGTTCTGACCCTCGTTATCCAGAGCTTCGGCCATTCCAGTGTTGCTGGTGCCCAGCCCCAGCCCCTCCGTCCAGCCCTGCTTCTCCAGCACCTTCCTGCCAAAGCCCTGGGAAAGGGGGAAAAAAGGGTCACAGAGTTGCTGGACAAAGGCCATCCTCATCTTTCCAGAACCCTCTGCCCCCTTCCCACATCCAAGATCTCTCATCTCCTAACCCACGCCCTCCGAGCCATCACCGCCACGGCCTTTCCTGCCCTGCCCCATCCTCTCCCGAGCAGGTATCCAGAGCTCACCTTGGTGTATCTCTCGAAGGTGCCAATCTGTTGCCCTGAAACAGACCCATCCTCCAAGCCATCCCGGAGCCGCTGTTCCAGCCACATCTGGACTGAATCCCGAGCATCCTTATCACCTCCGTCTAGGGAGAAAGAAGCAAGAGTCAGAGCAGCACAGCGCAGGAAAGCTGCTCGCTACCGTCATTTCCCCTGGAGCACCATGCAACAAGGAGGCAGAACCTGTTCTTTTTTGGCAACTCTTGCTGCCAGACAAGAAAAACGTTGTTTCGAGTACGCTGACGTCTTAAGACGCTTTCAAAGGATGACAGAGAAAAAGAGTTCCCCGCTGCAGAAATTCTGCAGGGTCAGAATTTCCCAACCTCCCTGGTTTCCTGGGGAAGGGGTTCGGCTCAGATACCTTTGTCATAGTAGATGCTCATGTCCACATCCCAGTCATCCGCAGTCTGCTCATCAAAGTCTGCCAAGAGAAGGAAAGCACTGGTTTTGGTGATGGTTGTGGAAGTTTGACACAGCAGAGCTGTTTGCTCCTAATTTTCTCTAACAAAACAGGAAGGAAATGGTATCAGGGACTCCGCAAACCACAGCACGTACACACCAAGCCGTGAATGGGACCACTGGGGTCTCTGGCTTGAACCGTTGTAGGTTTTGTGATCAAGGGAAGGTTTAAAAAGTGATGGCAAGATGGCTGTATCTGTAGCTGATCTGGAATGCTCGGATGGGGTTATACCCGATTTACCTGCAGGGCTGGGCCCCCCAGTTTGTGGTGGTTATTTTGGGGCTCAGTGACACCAATAACCGACATTACCTCCATTCTTCTCCTGCCAGTACTGGGCATCCGTGTAGAAGACGAGGCCAGAGCCGCCCTTCTCCCACTTCAACTCGATCTCCTCTTCAAAGAGCCGCTCCTCCACGCGGTCCTGCTTGGTCACGTCCTCGTGCAGAGCCTCGTGTCGCTCCCACTCCTCGCAGGTATCGTTGTCCTGCAAAGGAGACGGTGAAAGGTGGGCGACGCCAACCGCACACAGCCTCCTCCCTGCTTCCCTGACCCTCGCGGCCCATCGCAACGCCTTCCCTACGAAACAGCTTTGTCGACAGAGCTCGTCTCAGCCTGCTGTTTTCAGGCACTAACACGACCGGCACTGATGACCTCATTCCCCTGACTAATGCCATCTTCAGAGTCAGCAGACAGAAGTGGTGAAAAATACCACATCACACCCACTTCACGGCATGCTTTCAGCAGCGTACCCGATCTGTAACGCAAAGATGCCCATTTAAGGAGCAGGTGTGTTGTACGTAAAGTCAGCACTAGCAACAAATTAATTCCACTCAAGTTGATCCCTAAAGAGATTGAGTGGGTTCCAGTGAAGCAGCTCACTGGCACAGACACAGATCAGACCGACAGCTTTACTGCTGCCTGCCCAGTTCTGGGCAGAGCCCTCCAAGGAAGCCATTAACCGACGAAGGAACAGCCAAAAGAATGACTAGAGATCCAGGAAACAGCCTGTGAGAAACGGCTGGAGGAGTCTGTTTAGTCTGGAGAAGAAAAGACTGAATAAAAAGTTTGTAAAGGAGGGAACAAAGTGTTCTGTGTCCGCTGTTGCTAGGAGAACCTAATGGGATAAAATTGCAGCAGAGATTTGGCATCGGAGTTAATTCTGGTATAGCAAAGAACGGGAATGGCTTGCCTCCGGATTGTGCTGCCTCTGTAATGACAGAGGTTCGTGAGAACAGGCTAGACAGGCGTCTGTCAGGTGGAGGGAGCAAGATAGTCTCCAGAGAGCCTGTCCAGCCCAGTTTTCTAGGAGTCTGTCACAAAAGCCGTTTTTCTCAGAATGACTAACTTCCATCACGGGAGCATTCAAGGTCAACCATTTGTACAGCTCCGCGTGTTTCCAGCACCCGAACGTGCTCCCCAATCTCCAGTCGTCTCATTTACGAGCAAGAGCAGAGCCAGGGCAATTCGCCACACAGCAGGGCAGAGATCTGCTCCCGCAGCGCCAGCCTCTGCCTGTGCTCACTTCTCCCGACCAAACCCTTGGGGCTCAACCCCTACAACCGGCTTGATTTGGACAAGCAGTTTTGGAGGCATTAACGCCCGCGCTGTTCAACGCGCCAAGGGGCTCAGTGTGCCGAGACATGAACAACTGTATTTTAACACCATTAAAGAGCAAGTGATTTATACAATACAATTAAAAGATTAAAAATGAGCTCTGGGAGAGTTATAACGGCCCTCCCAGCTTCACAGCTACAATAGCCAACCTTGGACGGTGCTAGAGAAGTCAACTTACGTCATCCGAGTGCGACTCCTCATCCTCCTTCTCCTGCCCCTTCTCATCTTCCTCAGCACTGGCTGGGTGAGTCACCTCGGATCTTGCCACAGGCCCCTCTTCCCCTGTGATCTCATCCCCCGTAGCAGTGTAGACTCTTTCTTCTTCTATAACCGTCTCAGTGTCCTGGTATTCAAAAGGCACATTCCCATACCTACGGGATGAGCCTGTCTTTGGGAAATCCAGCTGCAATTTCTTGATAATCCGGGGAGGCAGCCTGCAGGCCCGGATCAGCTCCAGAAAAACTTTCAGGGGGGTGCCCACGTTCCCGTAAGGCATGAAAGAAGGGGGGTTGAACTCGGGCAACCGCTTCAAGTCTGCTTCTGCGACAGATTCGCCCGCGGCTGTCTTGTCCCCGCTGCAGGGAGATGTCTCCGTGCCTGGAGGAGAGAAGGGATGGGTTGTTTTTTTTTTTTTGGGAGGGGGGGAACACACGCTCCACCAGCGAGGGGTAAATCAGGGCCCTCCGGGGCAGGAGTGGGATGAGCAGACCCCAACCTGACTTTTCTTGCCTCAGAATGGATTTAAGGTGTTAAAGAAACTCCCCGAGCGGTTTTAACCACCCGGTGCCCTCAGGTTGCCTGCTAGGAGCCCAGGAAGTGGGATCCGATACCCAGCGGGTCCCCCGGACCCCTCCAGGCCCGGGATGGGAGGCCCGGCCCGGCCCCCCCGGTGCCCGCTCGTACCTGTCCCGGGGCTGAGGCGGACCCTGCGGATGAGGCAGCGGCCGGGCAGCGAGGCGCCTCCGGGCCCG